TTTATCTTTGGTTTTATGCGTCAAACAAGGACAAAAATACCACTGTTCGAATCAGCGTGAAAAGTTGTGTTTACGGATGGAAAATTGATTTCAAAATTGACTTCTATTCTAGGTATTTGTCGCCTTTGAAAGACAAAAGCCGCTCAAAATAATCCTTCACGTTTTCCGAATTCCTTTTTTCGAGGAAAGTTTTCTTTCGAATTACAACTCGAACTCTCACGATTGACTTTTTGCTGCGTCTTATCTCTGGTTTTATGCGCCCAATAAGGACAAAAATACCACCGTTCGATTCAGTGTAAGAAATTATACTCACAGATGTCAAATGTATTACTAAACTACAGTATTCTAGCAATTTATGGCCTTTGAAAGACAAGCGAAATTGTATTGTTCACAAATCGCTCAAAATTATTAAACATAATTAAAAGTGCAATACATTTGACCTTGATAACTTTCGTATTGTTGGTTTTCTCTTTTTCGGCCGTATACCAGTGGATTCGTCTCACTTTTTTCTTTATTTTGTTAGTAGTTTGAGCCCAAAATATTATATTTTGAAGCTTTTAATGTGCAGTTTTAATAAGCGAAATTGTATTGTTTACAAATCGCTCAAAATTACTAAACTAATTAAAAATGCAGTCCGTTTGATCCTTGATAACTTCGGAATTGTTGGGTTTTCTCGTTGTCGGCCGTATGCCAGTCGATTCGTCTCACTTTTCTCTTCATTTTGATAGTATTTTGAGCCCAAAATATTTTATTTTGAAGGCTTTAAAACGCAGTTTCGACCCTAACGTACGGACCAACTGGCGGCCGACAGGAGAATGTAGCGTGCTAAATATTAAACTAGGGTACCTGCAAGGTAGGGATTGCTGCGGGCATCAAAGGCAAATAGAACCACAGTAAAGAGCGCAAATTATATCAAGCACAGTGATTACTCGCAGCGACTAGTGAGCTGTGAATGGAACTGAAAAGAAGGACAAGAAGCAATATATATTGAAGTAGCAAAGATTGAAGTAGCAAAGACCAGGGGTTAAAGGGCAATCAGAGGTGACAGATATTAAACATGTGCGATTTCATATCAAGTTCTGTTAAGTCATATCTGCTAGGTGCATTTACCACATTATATAGACTATATACACAGATTTATCACACTAAGAAACCAAAACTTTATAAAAAATATAGAACTGACAGTGGCCAAAGTCCAAAACAAATGTAAGCGTAACATTAGACGTCACATGAAAAAGCTTTAGAAATTCGATAAAAATTCGATGGTGGGTCCTCGCAGACCTCGCGCGCTCACTTTTCCCTCACTAGAAACTTCATGTATTAGCCAACAGGAGAAATCTAGGGGCCCCATCTAGCGTATTATTTTATATAAGTTTACTTGTAGGCGAAACGCCAGAAATGTTTTTTGCAGGGCACCGCATTTTAGTACTGTGTCTGGTTTCAATAGTTTTCGGGTTTTTTGGGACACCCTGAACATCGATTTAATTGGAGTTGGTGGTATTAACTTAAAATCCGGCTGGTGTTAAGAGAATAAATTTCTGAATTGATGCGGCTTGGAAAGAGCGTAATGGTTTGCTTGTGAAGCATATAGGTTCGATTCCTGTAGTGCTCTATAAATATGTTGCATTAGCTGGAAAATTTACCTTTTGTAACATTTAAACAGCTATATAGCTGGACCGTTTTTAAGACCCCGTTTACACTAGAGCGAAAGATTCCGGATTCATCACAAAACCGAAACGTTTTGGCATTGGATTCATACATGCGTTTACACATACAGCGACGAATCCGGTGGAAATCATCTCGTTTGTAGGACGTATCCGAAAACCTTGAATCCGAAAAAAAAAGTAGAAACTTTGTATCCGGAAACATTTTAATCCAAGACATGGTTCTAAACGGAAATTTGAATTAATCCGGAATCTTTTTTTCGCCCGCGAAAATACGAGTTTGCGGTTTTACCATAGAACCAACATGGCGAACGTTATTGTTTTGTTGTCTTTGGTTTGTTGTTTAATTCTATTACAAGGAAGTATTGTAAATTTTGTAATGGCCACGGGTATATCTTTAAGAAGGCGAAAGTTATTGCAGAATGCTATTTTAATTTCTGCAAAACTGGTACGAAAACGAAGAAAGTGGCAAAACCGAAGACCTCGACGATTTTGGGTAAAACCCGGGAGAACATCTTCTTGGTGGGACAATATGCTAAACGGTGTTTGTCTAGATAGCGATTGGAAAGATAACTTTCGGATGTCGCGTTGTAACTTCGAAAAACTCTGCGATGATCTTCGACCTCTGCTTGAAGGACGCACATGCAACAAGAATGAGGAAACCATTGTCAGTAGAAACTCAAGTTGCAGTGACCCTTTACTACCTGGCAGACGAGGGGAGATCCAGAAAAATTGCTAATGCTTTTGGCCTATCTAGATCGTGCATATCAATCGCTGTCAGAAAGGTTTGTGCATTAATTACGGAGTATTTTGGCCAAAGATACATGAAACGTCCTGCTAATGAACATGAAGTACAGGCCACCTGGTCAGTAAATTTTATCAGTTCCATGGTTTTCCACAATGGATTGGGGCTGTCGATGGTACGCATGTAGCTATGAATAAACCGACCGAAAATGCCAGTGATTTCATTAACCGAAAGGGGTATACCTCTATAAATGTACAAGCTGCCTGTGATTACAACTACAGATTCATCGATGTGGTAGTAAAATGACCTGGCAGCGTGCATGATGCAAGGATCTTCAAAAATTCAACATTGAATGCAAAGCTTAGAGATGGAACAATTCCTTCTTGTCCTAAAGTTATTGTCGAAGGAGAAACTGCTGTGCCCATTAGTATTTTAGGTGATCCAGCTTACCCGTTGATGCCTTATGTTCTAAAGGAGTATGCCAATGGAGGCACCACACCAACAGAACAGTATTTTGGCTATAAATTATCATCTGAAAGAATGGTGATCGAATGCCCCTTTGAGTGTCTGAAAGGACGATGGGGAGCCCTTAGACGTGCTATGGATATCAAGTTAGATGACCTGCCAAGTGTGATATTTGCATGTTTTGTGCTGCATAACTTTTGCGAACCTCATGTTGAAACAGTTACAGAAGAAAGAGTGCAAGAAGCACGCAGTTATGACAGAGAGTTTCAACCCCCATGTCACTCTCCAGGTTATGGATCCTTAAACGAAGCAGCTGGAAAGAAAGTGGGAACATTTACTCAAAGTTCTTTGACTAAAATAGCTTTAACTTTTGTTCGTTTGGTTAGTAAAGCTATATAACTGTTGTGTTTTTGAATTTATTGCAAATCTTGTAAAACCCTTGAAATGTTATACTGTTTGAAGGAAATAAACGTACTACAGTGCAGCTGCAAAAGATCTTTACCATGTGTTATAAAATTAGAGAAGGGCGGGTATGTCTATTAATTTGTCTGTTACATCTAGCACTAACAAGTGAAAAATACTCAAAAGCACACAATATTTCATTAATAAAAACAACCTTTATTTCAACATTGTTGATATAATTGTGTCATGTGGAACTGCCAACTGAGAGAAAACTAGAATGAAGTTGTAAACATCCAAACATACTAGAATTTCCAGGTCTTGTAAAATGTTTATTACTGCACGAAACATTGGATTTACCACTATAGGAAACACAGAGTAAACTTGAGATAATGCCGCATTTGCTCGTAAATATGAGCAATTGCGGCATTATCTCAAGTTTACTCTGTGTTTCCTATAGTGGTAAATCCAATGTTTCGTGCAGTGTATATGGTGTATTAAATGTAATCAATTCTATGCTATGGTTTAAAACAATAGAATTACCATACAAATTAATGACTTACAACCCCAATGGATTCTCACTGCAATTTGCAGTCAGTTCCCTGAATTGTCTGTGTATTCAAAACACTAGGGTTAACCAATTCCCAACTAAATTAAATATAAATAACAATATAACATAACTTTCATAACTAAGGCATGACTCGGTCTGGTTGGGGGTACTGATCAGGTATACTGCATGAAAGGCGACGTATTCCGAGGTATTCACATGTCTATATATACGGGTTAGAAGAAAACGCATATTGTAACAGTATTCTGACGTGGAATATTAGTGTGAATACGGCATAGTATTGCAAAGTATTCCAAGCGTGAATATGCCGTGAATATGACACATATTCCACCTAATATTCACACTTGGAATATTATAATTTCATCTCATACGTGTTTCCACAAGATAGTTTGTTAAGTTAAACTTCCTTTGAATACTTCAGATTAAAAGTGGAATTGAATAGATAACAACATATCAAAACATATGGAACGCCATGTGTCCAAAAATTATTTAACGTTAATTATATCATATCATGACTAAAACTGTCATTATATATAAATAATTGATAAACGAACAGACATTATATCAAATCATGACTTATTCGTTTTTGTCATTATTTGATATAATGTTATCAACATTAAGCATTATATCATATCATGAACTTTCGAAAAATCATGATATAAGGTCAATCCACCAAGAGATATCGAGAATGACTTTCGCCAGATATCCATTCTTCCCCAAATGGCAAAAGCTGCAGCTCAAACTGAACCTTCCCAGTTCACGTATAAATGATAATCAGCATGCCTTTACAAGCAAACGATCAACCGTGTCCGCACTCACCAACATCTCGCAGAACTGGTTTAATGTGACCGACAATACTCATAACGCCAAAAATGGAGTTCATGCACTATTCATAGATTTTAGCAAAGCGTTTGACCTTGTTGACCACGGAATTCTACTTCGTAAGCTCGCAGAAATGAATGTAACCAATGCCTTTTGGCTATGGACGCGTAGTTTTCTGGAAGATAGAAGACAACAGGTCAAACTAGCAGGAACCCTATCATCGGTCAAACCTTGTCCTGCAGGAGTCCCACAAGGTTCTGTGATGTCCCCCGCTCTTTTTAATATTCACATTAACGATATTGAGAACTCAATCCCAGATGGATTATCCATAAACATATGCAAATACGCGGATGATTGTACACAGGACGAAGTGGTGTCACAAGGTTCATCCAGCCATATGCAGGAGGCCCTTGAAGCAGTACAAGAATGGTCTAATAGGAACAAAATGACGATAAATTCGAAGAAAACAAAAGATATGTGGATATGTTTTAACACCGCAATACCGGCACCAGAACCATTGGTCACTGGAAACGAGGTAGTGGAAAGAGTAAATTCTCATAAACTGTTGGGTGTCTGGGCATCAAAACAATTTGAAATGGAACTGTCATGTTAAGAACATTGTAAGAAAAGCAAATAAACGAATGTTTAGTCTGAGAGAATGCCGTAGGGCGAATCTTCCTCCTGAGGTCGGTATTACATGTTATGAATCCAAGATTAGACCTGTTTTAGAATATGCAGCTCCGATATGGGGTGGTTTACCACAATATCTCATTGATGAAATAGAGAGCATTCAAAACAGATGCATCAAAATCCTCGGCACATCTCGGTGCAACTTTGAAACGCTGGAACAAAGAAGGGCACACCTAACTGTTAAGGAATACCAAAGAATTCTAAGTGATCCGACCAACCCATGTAATAAACTTATCCCCCAACCTTTTACCCATGAACACGATCTAAGAACAACAAGTAATCTACCATATGTTGTATCGTATACTAAAAGACACCGGCAATCCTTTATACCTAGAGCTATATCTCTTTTAAAACAGTCCTAAATTAATTTTATAGAATATATAACTAGTATAAACAATTTTTAGCAACATTGATGTAAATAATAGTAAAATTTCTTCTTATCAATTTTAACCTTAGCACTTCTTGTAAATCCATTGTACTTTTTTAACCAAAGATGGATATTAAATGTTATTATTATTATATGATATCATGACATTTCGACAAAATCATTATATCATATCATGACTTTTCAACAAAATCATTATATGATATCATAAGCATTTGTGTAAGTCCTGATTTAATATATGCTAATGTGTTACACTATGATATCAAATAATGACTTTTCAGTTGATTCATAATATGATATCATGTAAAAGAACTTTTTCATTATATCATATCCGAAAAGCGCCGAAAAGTCATTATTTGATATAATGCAATAGCGTAGTGCGCCATCTGTCCAAAAATTAAAACTGTCCAAAAATCAATTAACCTTAATATAATGACTCAAACGTCCGGTAACTTAAAACCTGCGGTTCATGGGCCAAAGGCTACAAACAAATCTCTTCGATTACGATCGATCTTCCTCCGTTTTTCGCTTTCAGCAGCTAAGAATCTTGCTTGCAGTCGATTTTTTTAACTTGAAAAGGCTGGATTATGGCGAGTGATGAACGTTGCTGGGAAGACGCAATAACTGGAGCCGTGCAAGGAGCAGATTGGTCCGTTGTCACAGGAGATTCGCCCCCCAGGAGATTCGCCCCCCCCCCCTCTCAAAAGGGGGGCGATATTCCTAGGATATTCGCCCCCCCGGGGCGAATCTCCTAGGAATATCGCCCCCCTTTAGGAATTTCGCCCCCCCATATAAATTTTGAATTTTTGATCTAAAAACAAAACGATTGCAAGTTGAAAAGATTTATTGTGTGATTTATTTATTTATTACAAGGAGACAAAATTACATACACATTTTAGGCTTCTTAGCAGCTGGTGGTGTGCACAGTCTGCATAACCACTCATTTGAGGTACTTAGACTAGTGTCATATTCTACACATCTAAAGTGGAACCATTACAGAGATCGCATAAAATCATGTTGTCGTATTCTTCTGGCAGTTTACATTCACATAACATATTATAAAAACAAT